AAAAAAAACCTCCGACAGAACCAGGCTCAGGGAGGGACGGCCATCTGCCTCGACCGGTTGGGTGGATGTAGGATGAATTATACAATGTAGTTTACAGTTAAAAAAAAACAACAGCGTTAGCTTAGCATAACGCTATCTGGCTCCACCCACTGCTGCAGAGTTCGGCCAATAGGATGATGGACCTTTATTCTGGTCCGTCTGTGGCATTAAAATACGTAGACATGCTAACTACTTAGCATTCTGTTAGCAGACTGGCTGTTGCTCGTTGTGGTGCCCTGATGAGCCGGTCTAGTCTTTCACATGAGGCTTCCCTTGTGTTGCCGTTTCCTGTGGCGCCCCGACCGCCTCGGTGTGGGTCAGGTCATGGTGGTGTGTGGCAGAGTTAGCTCGTCAGCTGGAGGTCGGTATCGGGGTGAACATCTGATCTCTGGTTCCTCGTACTGCCGGGACGTCACTCAGAAGAGACGTGAAGCAGCTTCAGACCAGCACGAAGCGACAGAAAACTCTACAGACGTCACGCAAAACGACTTCAGAGACCAACAATAACCACAAAGTGACCAACGGCAACAACAATCAACCATAAAAGATGTAAAATAAAATAACGTAAAACCACCGCAAAGTGACGCAAAACGACAACAAAATAGATCAAAACGGTCTCAGTTCGACGCAAAATGACGATAAAGAGACAAAAAATGGCGACAAAAGATGGAAGACGACAACGAACCAACACAAACGTTCTACAGAAACTAAACAACCACCATGAAGTGACATAAAACTAAACCAAAAAACTGCAAAACTACTTTAGAGACCAACAACAACCACAAACTGACCCACAACAAGAAGTTACCATAAAAAAGATGCAAAATGGGAATAAAATAACAAAAAAACACCACAAAGTGACACAAAACCAACATAAATGTTCGACAAAAACTAAAAACCACCTTGAAGTGCCATTAAGCTCAACAGACGTAACACAAAATCCCTTCAGAGACCAACAATAACCGCAAAGTGACTCACGACAACAACAAATAACCATAAAAAAGATGCAAAATGGGAATAAAATAACACAAAATCACCACAAAGTGACGCAACATGACAACAAAATGAATCGAAATGCTCTCAGTTCGACAAGAAACACATTCAGAGATGCAGAATGACAATAAGGAGACAAAAAATGACGACAAACGATGCAAGACGACAACGAAACGACAGAAAATTTCTACAGACTAAAAAAAAAAGACCAAAAAAACAACAAAACCACCACGAAGTGACAAAAAACTCAACAAACGTAACACAAAATGACTTCAGAGACCAACAATAACCACAAACTGACCCACGACAACAACAAATTACCATAAAAAAGATGCTAAATGTGAATAAAATCACATGAAACCGCCTCAAAATCATGCAAAACAACAAAAAAGTGAATCGAACCAACACAAAACTTCTACAGAGACGAAAAAAGACCAAAAAAGCGACACAAAACAACAACTAATCCACCATAAAGTGACATAAAACTCAACAGACGCAACACAAAACTACTTTAGAGACCAACAACAACCACAAACTGACCCACGACAACAACAGGTTACCATAAAAACGATGAAAAATGGAAATAAAACAACATAAAACCACCACAAAGTGACGCAACATGACAACAAAATGAATCGAAATGATCTCAGCTAGAAAAATATGACGACAAAAGATGCAAGACGACACAAAACTTCTACAGAGACTAAAAAAGACCAAAAGAAACGACAACTAGTCCACCATGAAGTGACACAAAACTCAACAGATGTGATGCAAAACTACTGCAGACCAACAATAACCACAAACTGATCAACAACAACAACAAACTGACCCACAACAACAACAAATAACCAGAAAAAATGTGAATAAACCAACATCAAACTGCCTCAAAGTGACACAAACCAGCTCCAGAGACTCAGAATGAAGCAAAACCAACAAAAGAGACTAAAAAAGAAAGTAAAGAAGTCAGAATGACCAGTGACCCCCCAGCAGCTCCTCCTGTGGCTCCTGATCCACCATCCTGGAGGAGCTGGTCTGCTCAGGAGCCTCTGGACCATCTAACCTCCACCTAATCCGGATTAACCGACCAGTCTGCACGGTTCGGATGTGACTAAAACGGTTTGAAGTGGAGCCAACAGGTGGTGGCTGGAGCTGCAGCCAGAGGAGACCAGAGGAGGGTTCAAGTGGTCCACATCCAGCCCAGGCTCCACCAGGACGCTGCTAGACCCGGACCCTGGTGGTTTTAATCATGTTTAAGGTCTACCGGAGCCTGTGGGCTGCAGTGACCCTCCAGGAGCCTCCTCTGGTCCCTGCAGCCCGTAAAAAGCGGATTTCCTTTAACCCTCCACCACAGCGTCCCCCGCTGCCGCTCCAGCGGCGCCGAGCCCCGGACCCGGTCCTACCTGACGGCTGAGCTCCTCAGGTCGCGGCTGCACCGACTCCCCGCCGCCTTTCTAGCCGCTCATGGTGCGAACCGGAGCCGGAGAGGATGCGGAGCGTTGAGCCGAAGGCCAGCGGCGGGACGAGCACTTCCTCTATCCGTCCGTCTGCACAAGGAAGTAAAAGTTCACTTGCATTGCAGGCTCGAAAACACGCAGAGTCCGGAAGCGCGGACGCTATCTATGCAAAGTGGCGCAGGATCCATGCAGCGCTGTTTCACCTGCAGCTGGACTGCTGCTCAACGTGTGGCTCGGGGACTCGGCGGGGGCCGTTAAAAGCCGCCCAGAGGGTCCCAGAGAATGAAGCAAACAGGCAGGTCATGTAGGAAACAGGACGTCATTGCTCCTAGTTTAGGTTAACTTTAGTTAGACTTTGACTTTCTGGATCTGTTTAACCTGTTTAAACTGTAATAATCACATTTAAACACTTTATTTATAGGAAATGTGATGTGTCATGAAAACAAATAAAAATATATATTTCTGTGTGTATATATAATCTATACACCTGCACACACACATACTGTATAAATACTGGACATATATATTGTATATATACACACATAATACTGTATTTACTGTATGTATACACACTGTACACATAATACTGTCAATACATACTGTATATATATAGTATGTGCATCATATATACACAGTATGTATGTCGAGTGTATAAATATCTATGCACACAGAAATTTCATGACATTTTCATGACAGTACTGTATACGGCATATATATATATATATATATATATATATGATAGTCATTAATTGACAAAACAACATGGTGAAAACACCAACCAGCTAACCTAGAATTAACTAAACCAAACAAAACAAAACATTTACATACTGTATATATACAGCACTGTGTATCCATCCATCATCTCTACACCTTAATCCTCACCAGGGTCATGGGGGGCTGGAGTCTATCTCAGCTGACTCAGGGTGAAGGCAGGTTCACCTGGACAGGTAACCAGTCTATCACAGGGCTACACTTAGAGACAGACAACCAAGCACACTCACATTCACACCTACGGACAATTTACAATCACCAATTAACCTCAGCATGTTTCTGGACTGTGGGAGGAAGCCGGAGAACCTGGAGAGAACCCACGCTGCACGGAGAGAACATGGAGACTCCACACAGAAAGATCCCGGGTGTCCTCACCGGGACGCGAACCGGCGACCTTCTAGCTGCGAGGCAATGATGCTAACCCCCGAGCCACCTTGCAGCCTGGCACTGTGTATATGTCCAGTATATGTATAACATGTATGTGTAATCCCACACATACATAATGTATACATACATAATCTACCCCCCGGTTAGATCATGGCTAAACTCGTATTGTTTCACCAACATTGTCTTGAATCCTGAATCAGCTGAAATGTGACTCAAACTGACTTTTCAGATGAACAATATTAATTCTGTCTGTTTCATCAAATATTTAACGTATGAATGATGAATGGATAAGGCTAAACTTAATTATAACAACAGAGAATGCTGATACACACAGTCATGCTAAAAGCTAATTAGTCTAGTTTAACTTCTTACACTTATGCTAACTAGCCTTGATTAACATCTGCCTTTGTAGCGCAGCAAATAGGTAATAGCTACTTAAGGGTAGTCTCAGTACACCTAGCTAGCCTTAGCTAAAGCTAATTATGGGCATTTTCTTAACTGTATAATGTAAATGATCAATTCAGACGTACCAGCACCTCAGAAAACAGTTAATTAAACAATATAAATAAAGTAATTGATAAAGAATCATAATAGAGAAAAGTAATCTAGGGTAGCACTAAAAGCTAACTAGCCATGCTAAAGTACTGCTCGCTTTTTTTCTTGTCAGGGGCTAATCATTATCAGTAAATTGTAGTTTTAAAGCTTTCTATCTTTTACACCTTCTATATGTAGCTTTAATTAACATGTGTCTATGTGGGGAAGCAAACTTGTTACAGCTGGTTAGAGTGTAGGTACTGTTAGCTTTAGCTAAAGCTAACTACTTTTTCAGCCTGTATTCTGCCACATAAACAATCGATTTTGATGTGTCGATATCTTAGTAATTATTTTTTATACTACATACACAAAGCAGTAGGTAATTACATCTAATTATGACAGAGAAAAGAAGCATAGTAATGCTACATGCTAACTAGCCTAGCTTAAATATCATGTAGATTGTGCTAACAAGAATCTGATTTATATCTGAGGAGTAACTGTTTATTATGTCTGAGCAATAATCATCCAACAGAGTCACTAAACTATGGTTTCACAGCTTATTCTGCTTTTTAAATTAAAGTCGTAGCTACTGCTGCAGTTTAACACTTTATTCAAATAAATTGTTGCTTCTATAAAATATATGTCTAAAGTTCTGTTAGCATAATGTGCTACAGGTTTGAAAATAAAAATAAAAGGCCCCATTTGGAGTCATAATATTAAACATCACTGAGGCAAAACACAGAATGTTGTCAGCTGTCCATTATAACTACTTTACAGACTGGCTGGTTTAATCTATAATCCATATCATTTGCATACTGTTTTGTATATTAACTAGATAGCTGACAGATAAATGTAACCCAGTGGACGTTATATTACTATATGAGTGCAAGTAAGGCACAAAAACTGCAAAATAAGTACGAATAAAATAATAATTCCAGTGCAGTACTTGAGTAAATGTACATGTGGTTTATTTGTCATGAACATAAAACAAACAATATCAAATATTTTAGGACCTGTTGATCAAAACTGACCTTTAAAGACTTACATTTGTTTCCATTTCAAGAATGATACACAACAAAGTGAACTTAATAGCATCACCAGCTAAAAGCAAATTGAGTTTCAGGGTAACTCTGGAAACATGTGCACGACTGGCAGCATGTGTCCAGATCAGGATGAGGAAGAACGCGATTATACGTGAAAAAGCAGGAAGCAAAGTGTGAAATAAATTACAGAAGGTGATGCAGAACCTCGGTGCGTTGGCTTTACTGCGTATTTCTGACGCTCATAAGGAAGTCCGACTGTCATCGGCAGAACAAAATGCGACGAGGTTCACGTTTCTGGGCATAAAACACTAAAATAATTTCCATAAACAAATAAAACAGAGTCTAAATATTCTTTCCCGTCACGCTGGCCGCTGTGTGATTATGGCGGCAGATTTGCATGCGTTGCCTGCCTCGGTGGTTTGCATGATAGCAGAGCAGACGAACACAGAGCTGCTGTTTGTGGCGCCTTTTTACAACCGCACGAACGAATGAAGACTCCAAGTAAAACGAGAAACATGTTAAAGGTTCAGTAGACGGATCCTCTCACTTTATTACAGGCGACTTTACAGGGAAACACACATGAATATCACTCACTAAGCTTTTCCTCACACAAACCCCACAACAATCACAGTTTTTTATTTTTAAATTTAAAGTCAACAAGTTTTGAGTCGTATAAAGCCGATAGGGTTGAATTTATTCAGATTTAATTCACAAAACACACACTGTGCACTTATTTAACAGTCGATTACACTCTAAAACTGTCATGTTTTAGTGAATAAATTGAATATGATGGAGGATATTGTGTTAAATTGCATTTTAAAAACAGTATCATCCGTGTGTTCAATAACATATTTCAACCCAAACATAAAAAAACATCATGAAATTGTGCAGACGAGCCATTTTTCACACATTTCCTCATTTAAACAAGTGATCATATGAAACGTTTCACATTTTAACAAGCTTTTATTTTGTAGTAATGTTAAGACATCCTGTTGTAACTATAATATTCTCCCGTTATGACACTGACTGAGTTCTTTTTCCAGGTGTTGCAGCAACACGTCGCCACAGGTTGAGGTTATGCTGAACAATAAAATGTTTTTTATTTTACCAACTTATTGTAAATAAACTTTTTGTAGAAGCTGCACTAAATTCTTTTTCTACCGTTGTGTGATTAGAAACGCACACATGAGGGTTATGTGACGGTTAATTTGTTCCAGGTTTAACTTAAACTTCATATTTTGTTTCATATGTTTTGTTGCGGCTGATATCAATACCGATTATTAGCAATCAAGGAGATCAATAACTGATATTTGCTACACATTTGCAGTAGAGCTGAAACTCCTGGCGTCAAAGTTTAGAATAAGCCAAAAGAAAACTGTGCTGATGTTTATTGTTACTAAATATTTATCCCTCAGTGCTGATTGGTCGCTACTCGGAGCGTGTAACCAATCAGACGGAGCCGTGGGCAGGAAGTTGATCGAACTCACAGTGTCGTGCATTTTTAGATTCATTTACTTCAACTGGATTCAGTTTTTAGAAAATAAAAACAGAGATAATCAGAAAAACGCTGAATGTCAGCTTCCTGTCTCGATTAAAGTAAATACAGCGAGTGAGTCGAGTGTAAAGACGATTTTTAGTGAGCGAGACGGGATTTTTAATCTACTAATCTAATGGCATCATCGTATATATAACATCTATTATTAAGCTCACGTCACACTGACTAATTTGTTGCGGATATAAAATGTTTAAATTCCCTTCCTAGCTTGCTTAAAATGAATAAATAAAAGCTCACATGAATGAGAGGAAACAAAACATAATAATACAAAAGTAGAGAAAAAAAAAATCACCAATACTGAAGTCTGGAGACGTTATTAACACCAAACCGGATGTTTTTCAGAGTTTCCAGCTGTTTTAACACATAAACCTGATAAATCCGTCACATATTCCACCACAGACCTGCCGGAGCAACGGAATAAAACCTACAGCATCTCTTATATGTTCACAATATTTCACATTTTTCTTTATTTGTCTCACTCGTGCTGGTTTATCAGCTCCACACAGAGGACACGAGCCAGTCTGTAAAACCAGATGTCTTTATCACCGTAGATTCATCATCCACTGCAGCTTCCTGAACAACATCTGTGAGCTTCTCAGATGAAACATAAACCTCACAGACGTGTCGTTCAGTCACATGCTGCATGTAAATGTGTGGTTGAACTCACCCGCCCTGCTCCGCTGCTCTCACCTTCCTGTGTCGGCGATTTTAATAGCGAGTTTTCTTCTGCCGAGCGGCTGAAGTGTCAACACGCCCAGAGAGAAATGACTTCACGGATCGGCCGCTCAGGAGGAAATAACCGGCTTCAAGTCTTTCACTGACCAGCAGCAGCAGGGTTTGAGGGAACAGCAGGAAAAGAAATAAAACCGTGTGTGTGTGTCGGTGTCAGCTCTCAGTCACTGGTCCTGGTCCTCCTCCGGCTCCCGGAGGCCCTGGCTGTGCAGCGTCTTCCCCGTCATCTCCATTATGGCCTGGACTTCGGGATCCACGTCCAGGATGCTCCTCTTGCCCCCCGCCTCGTCGTCACCCTGAAACCAAACACAAGAAGCGTGGGCTTAAAAGGAAACAGCTGTACGGTGTAAAAAAAAAGAAGCCTGGATGCAAATGAGCTTCTCTATTTATGGGGTTGTTAATCTCCTGACCTCAAAACCCACCGGCGGGTTTGAAACACGTGTTATCTCACAGAGGGAAGCCAAAATTATGACATTTATCAGAGTATAAAACACAAGAATAGACGGACTTTCAGCTTTCAGGTGGTCCTTGAACTAATCACGTGGGAGGTACCGGTCCTTGAGGAAAATTGGACCTTAGAATTGTGATATTTAATCAAAAACCACTTTGTTTTACACGTCACCAAAAATAAACCGTCTGCACCAGGTCCTGCAAAAATGTAAATAAAAGTCTGACTTCCTGGCTTCATCCGAGAAGCCGCGACCGACTCGACTGTTACCTGAAGTCACGTGACAAGAATTCAGAGGTTTTATTTTTAGGTTGAAAGGTTCAGATTTTCAATTTTCTTGACAATCCTTGGATTCAAAGATTCAAGGCCTTTATTGGTCACAAACAGAACTATAACGTGCAGTGAAACGTACTTTGCATCTGTTCCACACCGAAACAAGAAGAAGAAGAAGAAGAAGAAGAAGAAGAAGAAGAAGAATAAAACACAATAGATGTAAAATAAATAAAAGTGTCAAATAGGCCAAAAAAATTTAAAATTAAAAAATGTATCGTGTGCAATTCAGTCAGGAACTTTTTACTAAATCTTTCCTTAAAAACTGTGATATTTAATCAAAATCACTTTATTCTACTCGTCTCATTTAAAAGTTCATCAGCAGTAAAACAGTTTGCACCAGATGCTGCAAGAAAAATAAATTCTGCTCCATCTGAGAAGTGTTTCCACGGAGCAGAGAGAGAAAATCAAAACCTGCTGGATCAATAAATAAATGCAGCACGGCTCAGAAACAGCGAACAGAAGTTGTTGGAGATACATCCATCATGGTGGAACGTCTGTCCAGATGTGGAGCTACGTTACCTCCTCTGGTTCTGGAGGTTTCCCCACGGCCCAGGCTTCCATCGAGTCCACGGTGAAGTCCTCGTCTCCGGACAGCTGAGGGCTGCCGTAGGTGGTGCATTTGGGTCGAGCTCGACTGTGACCGCGGCCAAAGTCGCTGTCCAGCCAGAGTCCGAAGTAGCCGTGCTGCCCGCCCATACCCTGGAGAAGACCGGAGACCACAAACACATCATCTCAGAGTGTTTGATATTTAATGTGCTTCCTCTGTAGTTTTACAGCATTTTTTCTAGAAATCATCCTTATAGTGTTTGTTAAATTAAAAGAAAATGAGAATTCTGACTCCAAAGAAGTTCTTTCCTGATTCTGAACAAACTGAATCATGTTTAGCTTTTGAAAGTCGAGCCTCCTTTTTCCTTTTACGCAGGTTTTTCCAGCAGAGTTTTATTTGTCCGAGCTGTTTTGCCAACTCGTTATCAGAAATCAGCGAAGACGTTTTCACCTTTTTGGGTTTTGTCACCAATTATTCGACCCGTTAACATTTATGAATCTGACCACGAATGAGGAAAATGTTCATCTGTTGTCGTTAAAACCTTTGACGACAAAAGATAAATAAAAATGCTGTTCTGCGCTGAACCTGCCGCCCAGGTGCTGCAGCATCACGTCACTGTGCTCATGAGCCAAACGGACAAACTTCTGTATCACTGAGTCTGACTTTAGGCATCGAAACAGTTGGACAACACTGCCCCCATCAGGTCGGACTGTAAACTACAACCCTGCCCTCAGTACAGTCGTCCTCAAACGTATTGATACCTTTCCATTAAAGAAAATGCAAAATTCACAATAGTTGCTCAAATAACTACAAACTGGAAAAAGTAATAATAAATAAAAATTTGCTAAATTATAATTTAGTGAAAAAAGACGTTGCTTTTGAATTGTGGTTGAAAACAATAATTAAAAAAAAAAAAAAAGAGTCACGTGACCACAAATACAAATAAAAAATTAAATTAATAATTAAGCAGAAATATAGATTAAATCAAGAAAAGAATCAGAAAAATATACTAAAGTCCCAAAAGCACAAATATACAATAGTAAATATAAAAATTTAAACCAGCTTACTGTCATTAAAAACAAAAAAACTTCATTTAGCACATAGCTCAGGTTGCTCGCGACCCAAAACACACATTTTAGATAAAAACTTTAAAAAGATAAAGCTTATTTTTATCATTTTTGACACAGTTTGGAGCTGATTTTATGTCGTTTCTAATTAAACTTCCTGTTCTCTGCATCAGAAACCACTGTGATTGACTCAAACCCATCAAGACGTATCTGTAGAACAACGTCTAGCCTGGGTTTGCCGGCTAAATCAAGCCAATCGGCTCCGTGTGAGAGCTACGGTGCTGAGCGTCTCACCAGGCCGTTGGGCATGGTCTGCTGGTTCTGGTTGAGGTACATGAAGTGCTGGTTGTATCCGGTCGCTGTGTAAACCCTCAGCTTGGGGAACACAGTGAACAGGAAGCATCTGGAGTCACCTGCACACAAAAATATACAAATGACGGAGATCTGAGAGAAAAGTCAGGCGTCTGTCGGCAGCGTTCAAACCAGCGGCGTTACTTCCTCATCGTGTCGTTTTATTATGAGTCTCTGCTGGTTGTTGCTGTTATTTGTGCAAATCAGGTTGGTTTATTTTTGTAAAACTTTAACCCTGTTCAGAGTTGGGGGGTCGTGGTTTATTAAAAATGAGGCGACACGTACAAGAACTGCAGCGTTTGTAGAAAAACATTATAACGTACATTTGTTGTTTATGTCTCATAGAGGAGCTGATTCAACCTGCTGGTGATTTATAATACGTAATTTAAATTAAAATACATTTTATGTTCCTATCCTGGTTTTTATCCAGAGACTGCTTTATTTCCTGAAGGTGTTTTATTGTGTTTTATGTTTATTTATCTTGATCTTATTTATTTTATCTCATCTTTTTACTTCCTTGTTGTTATATTGATGAATACTGAGGAACACTGAGCCTTTTGTCTCTCGTCACTCAATCAACTACCTGCCCGTCAGGTTCACTGTGTGTTTTGTTATGAAATGCAAAAACGCTATCGTTTGTTGTCTGCTAAACAAATCTACCCACAGGTATTAATAAAGGAACCTTGAATGTTTATATACTGATTTTACAGTATGATATTAGTACTTTTACTGCGTTTATAGTGTGGAATTAGTACTTATACTGGTTATACAGTGAGGTACTAGTACTTTAACAGTGCTGTATTAGTACTTACACTGCATTACAGTGTGCTATTAATGTTTTTACTTGGTTTACAGTGTAGTATTAGCACTTTTACTGCTTTTACAGTATGAGACTAGTACTTTAACTGCATTTATTATGAAGTGCTAGTATTTTTACGGCTTTTAAAGTGCAATATTAGTACTTTTACTGGGCTTACAGTGTCATATTAGTATTCTTTCTGCTTTTACAGTGTTGTCTTAGTACTTCTACTCGTCTTACACTGTGATAATTGGTACTTTTACTTGTTTAACTGTGCAATATTAATACTTCTACTGGTTTTAAAGAGCAGTGTTTGTACTTTTACTGGGTTAGCAGTGCAGAATTAGTATTTTTACTCCTTTTACAATGTGATATTA